AAGGGGAAAGATGGTGACTAAGAAAACCATGTAAAGAAAAGAGCCCGAAGGGAGTGTGTTGTCTGTGGAGAGGGGCCGAGATCACTAAGGCAGTGCCTGGCTCTTGGACCCAGTATGTCCCGGGAAAGGATTGGGCTCTGCTGGCATCTGCCACCCCAGTTCCCTGCAGACTCCTGGCTTAGGTCCTTGGCTACGGATCCCTGGTCCCACCTCAGTCCGCCTTCCTGTGGATTAGCCTAGAGAATGTATCACGGCTCTGCTCCATTCTGACTGTGAGTTAGTTTCGTGGCAATCTAGTTTGTGTATATAAGTCTCTTGGGAATCTCATTTGGCAACTCTGGAAGGAAGGCAAAAGCCAGAGGGTAAACTTGGACTATGAGATGCCATCGGAAGCTCTCAGTTTGGGAGCTGTTCACCCATATACTCGCCTGTGTCTGCGTGCCCGTCTTCACAGGGTCTTGCTCCATGTTTGGGGAAAACGTCCTGCAGGGAGAGGGATCAGAGAAGAAGGTGATTATTCACTTGGGCTCCACGTTTTCCCAAGGCTTACCCACGTGCTTAGAATTTTCTCCGTGTAATTCCAGCATCTGACAGCTTCCCCGTCATCTGTAGTGTGCGCCGAGTTCCCTCTGCCCGGGACAGTCCGGTAGGGCCCTGTCTTGGGTCTTTGATGTCAGTCTCTCTCCTGTGGCTGCTGGAGCCTCTTCACATGCAAGACTGTCCATGTTTCCCTCACCAACGGAGATCATTGTTTCCCTACATTTTTCTTGAGTTCTCCTGAAAAATATAAGCCCTAAAACTTGGTCTTCTGCTAATAACAGAAAGAATATATTCCCCAGGTGTTTTAGGCTCAAACTTGCTTGCTAACCTGAAATTGTTCAGAAATATAAATGTGGAAAGGGAACTTTCCCTTGACTTACATCCTCAGAGCAAGTAAGCTCGCTGGCAGTGGGCAGCAGGTCAAGTGTGAGAGCTGCTTGGTGTCTGCTTGGGCCTGGCTCTGTCTCATCCGTGTGGGTCTCCGGATCCCTTCCCCAGCCATACACAGCCTGCCTTGAAAGTCTTTGGCACTGCCGTGCCCCTCACCACGGGGCTGAGCAAGAGGCCGGGGAGGGGGGTGACGGGAGGACGACAAACAGGATCATATGCACCGGCTTCCACGATGCTGGAAAACCGACGACTGGCAAATTCTAGTCTAGCCAGCTCTCCTGACCCCTGATGCTGATCACCCGTGGCTGATGCAGCTCCAAGTGGGCTCGTGGGTGCAGGTTTCCGGTTATTTCGGGGGACTGGATGACACTGAAGAGACGTTCCTCCCTCTATCTGGCCACCCCATGGGTCACATTTTCAAATGGTCCCCAGAGGACACAACCCTTGGGGAGGTTGCTGCTTGCTGACCTCAGATCTGGACTCTCGTGAGTTTAGATTTCTGATTTTAGAGGCACCGTTTTCTGACTTTCCCTTCATATTCTTCATCCTTCAGTTTTACAGATATTTGTGACCAACACTGCGGTAGACACCGTCTCGGGAAATAGGGTAGCAAGATGGAACGCCTGATGCCTGGAGGCACGAGTACAGAGTGGTGGTCGCGGCAACCATCTGTGGCTTGGTCTTCTCAGAAAGGGCTCTGGAAGGGTTCTTTGAGACTGCGGACCCCAGGCCAAGGCCCTCAGTGGTGCGGATGCAGGTGGCCCCAGGGCATTCTCTAAGATTGGGCTGACAGGTCCTTTTCGCCTGAGATGCCAGGATCCAGCTGTTAGGTGTGGCGTTTCTTTACTGTTGGCTCGAGGCTGCGCGGGGTGGTTGGCTGTCGCGTGACCAGTGTGGGTGAAGGAGCATGGGTGGGACGCCCGGCCCCCAAGGCCTCTGATCTTTCACATCGTGGCGGTACTGGGTTCAGAGTGAATATGCAGGGAGCTGCTTTCAAAGTGTTACCAGACAATTTGGTGCAAAAGGTTAAGGATTATAACAAGCTGTTAAAAGTTTTCTATTAGCCATTCATGTAAAGAAACGAGACCCAAGCTTTAGAGTGCCCTACAGCCCCCAGACTCCCCCAGTCCCATAATTCTGAGCCCGGATGGGGAAGGGCTGGGTCCAGAGCTCTGGGCCTGCTGCTCCGAGCTGCGGCGGCTCCTAATCTGTACGAGGGGGTCACTCACGCACAGGCCTGTTCCGAGAGCAGAGGACATGCTGTCTTCATAAGTCTGGCAAACGTCGGGCACTCAACAAAGCCCCCTGTCCTCGGTTCAGGCCCTCCTCCCCTGCTTCGGAAAGGCCTGTGCATCTCCTCACAGCCAAGCCAGAGCTGTTGTCTTTCTTTCCAAACACGACTGCTTCACCTCTGAAAATGTCACTTTTCCATTTTGGAGCAGACAGATTTTGGCGCGACGATCATAGGTGTTTGTGCGTCTGTTCTGGGCTTAGCCTGCCTGGCAGTGACTGATAATGCCTTCCTCATAGAGACAGCGCTTCCCAAGGGCCTGCTGGACACCACATCCCACATTTGAGGCCTGACAGGTAGTTTCTCCCCATCATTTCCCCTGGGCGTTTTGCAGTGGCTGGAATAGTATCAGAATTAACTCTTCCAGGTAATGCCCTGTCCTCAGAGCACAGATCCTGGGGTTGGCTTACTGAAGTCACTTCATGCATAGTGACCCCCAGGGCCCCTGTGCCTCTCTCCTGCTCCCACTGCAGAGGAGCCTGTGGAAGAGGTCCTGTCCCTGTGTGGTGGGGGCGCTCTCCCTCCCCCGTGCAAGGAGAGGCTGAGCTAGGACATCCTACATCATTTCCAGGGAAGGTAGTTGACGGCCCCATGATGTCATCTGCTGACCTTCTGAATTCTGACCCTTTCAGAGTCCCCTTCTCTACGGCACCAAGAGTCAAAGATCTCCATGGTATTTAAGGATTATAATTAGCATGTAGATTGTAAGCTTTGCTCCAGAAATTGCCAAATCAGACAGATTATTAGTTAAACCAGCTTTCTTTTCTTTTCTCCCCAGAAATCTTTACATCAAATATGGGGCTTGAACTCACCGCCCTGAGATCAAGAGTCCCATGCTCTACCTACTGAGACAGGCAGACACCCCTAAACCAGCTATTTTTGATAACTTAACGGTATGTAACGATAACATATGGGGTTGTCCCTGGGTGGGTGTTAGCACGGGTGGGTATAGACTTTGCATGTGTAAACGACAACTGCCAGACGTGCAAAGGGCTACACTTTCCTCTACGCCCCTCTTCTGGGTGCGTCTTCCCTGGAACTCTTCCATGGGAATGCAGGTGACAGAACTCTGCCTTTCTGAGGATGAACTCGAGTGTTTGGGCCAGAAGCATGGGCGGGGAAAGAATGTAGCCCTGGCCCTGTCTGCCCCGATGGTTGGGGTACATTATTTCAGGCTCGCTTTATTCTCCAAAGTGGCATGAATTTGCCATTCTCTATTTGTTAAACACCAGTCACCCACGTGGATTCTCCATCGTGGAGGACCCTGATTCCCTCCCGCAACCAGGAGCTGAAAGGTGGGATTCCCAGTGCGTCTGTCTGGCCAGACACTCTCTCAGAGGGGCCGTGCGGGTTCACTCAAATCACTGGCTCAGCCAAGAGTTGGTAGCAAGGTCTGTGCACGTGACAGCTCGCTCCCCGAGATCTTCCAGACAGAGCTTCCAGAGAGAGCCTGTTTTTAGAGATGGAAAAAGTTGTCAGAAGAGCCACCCGGCACAGGGCTGAGAGAGCACAGCAGGGCCCAGTCTCCGAAGTGTGGAGCTGCCCCACTCTGACCTGCCCAGGCCAGGAGCATCCATGGAAATCACTGGGAATCCTCCCCAGCAGGTGAGGGCTCTGGGGAGGTGGGGCCTTGAGTCTCAGCAGAGACTTCCACGTGTAGACTATTATTCTAATGCTCCAAAACCAAAAACAGAACCCGGAAAGTAACAGCATGCCTTCTGATGTGGCAGGAATGGTTTCTCATGGGCAGTCTGCAAAGAGCCTGCCCTTCAGGTCCTCCCTTTTCCTTGCCCTATAGCACTGTGCTTCTGCAGCTCAGCCCCCCGGGATTCACCCGAGAGGTAGGGACAAGTCCTGCTTGCTTTGAGACCCGGCGGGCGGGGAGAAAGCCCCCAGGACCTTTCGGTCCTTGATCGGTGATTGCAAGCTGTCTTCAGAGAAGGGCCTCTCAGTGCGGCCCTGTGGTGGGCATGGTTCCTGCTCATGGCACTGGGGACGAAGGCGGGCTGAACGCATCTTCCCCACTCCCAGCAAGCTGGTGGCAGAGACCACAGGGAGCTGAGGAAGCGGTCTTCTCTTCAAGAAAAGACCCGCTCCCTGTTCCAGAGGCGGACGGATGGAGTTGGAAGGGTTGACCGCCCGGTGCGTGCGTTTCGAAGTGGATTTTGATTGTTGCATCTTCTGCTTCCGCCTACGGGTACTTCTCGTCAGGAACGGAACTTTAGAAATCTGGAGCAAAATCAGCACAAGGGGTTCCGGCAACAAACAATCGTGCAGGGAGGGGATGGGGGTCTGGAAGCTGAAATCGCCGCCTGCCATTTTGCATTTGAAGGCAGTTTAGGGGCAGCTGGTCCTCGGGGTTTTCCCGAGATCCCTGCAGTCCAGTAGAGGTTAAGAGAGGCAGCACGGGTGCGCTCAGGCTTGCGTTAAAGTGACTCAGTGTGGCCTTGGGCTGGGGGGGCCCAGGAACCATTATCATCGAGCGCGCCTAGAGCGCTGGAGGCAGTAGACGTTAGGGGTCGCGTCACGTACGGCGCGTGCCTGTCGTAGCAGACGCCCAAGCCGGTCTCCTTGTCGCCTCCGCAGCTGGAGCGCAGGGGCCGCCTGCTGCGCGGCCCTTCCTGCCGTGCCCGCCCCTTCCCCGGGCCCCGCCCCTGCCCGGGCCCCGCCCCTGCCCGGGCCCCGCCCCTGCCCGGGCCCCGCCCCCTGTCCGGGCCGAGCCCCTCTTTCACCCGGGTGCGCCGGCGCAGTTGTCCTCCAGAGCCCGGAGGGACGCGGGTCACGTGCTCCCCGCGCTCCGGGGTTCCCCGCGCTCCGGGGTTCCCCGCGCTCCGGGGTTCCCCGCGCTCCGGGGTGTCTGCTTGAGGGTCCGCGGCTTCCTCGTCGGCGCGGGGGGCGCGGCTGGAGCGGGGGTCGCTGAGCCGCACGTGCGACGATGCAGCCCGGACGAAGGCGGGTCCGGCGAGGCTCGGCGACCCCCGGGGTCAGGGACAGGAAGCCCCCGGCCGCGCCGCCCCTTCCCCCTCGGCTCCCGCGTGGTCCGTGCGCGTCGGGGTTCGCGGACGCGCAGAGCCTGTTCCGAGCTTGCTGGGGGCGCCGGGCCGTGAGCCGGGTTAGGGCTGGGCCGGCGGGGCCGGCGGGGCCAGCGCCCGGCGGGGTCCCTCACGCAGCTCGAGGGGAGGCGCGGGCGGAGACCGCGCGTGTAGCGGAAGGAGGCGTCCGTGCCCGGCGCCGCGTGGCCTGTCTGCCCCGTGGCCGGCGCGCGCGGAAGGTCGGCCGGAAGCCCGGACCCGGCCGGCCCCTGGGCGCTGCGGCCGCGCGGCCGTCCTGGCACCACACGCGCGCGGGGCTGTTGCGGACGCCGCCACCGGGGGCTTGTGGGCGACGGACGTTCGCGGCTCCGGGTCCTGGAGGCTCCCGGGTCTGGAGGCCGCAGCCGCGCGGGGCAGTGAGGCTCCCGCGTCCCCGCCGCAGACAGCCGCCCGCGCGCCCCGTGCTCACGGTGGAAGGAGAGCGGGCCAGCCGTCGGGGTCCCTTCTACCAGGGCCCGGATCCCTTCCACGGGGCCCCACCCCCATGTCCTGGTCACCACCCCATAGTCGGAGTTAATTGGACACTTGGGTGGTCAGGGCCAGGGTCCCCAACAAGAAAGCAAGAGAGCTGGGGCAGCTGAGACAAAACCAGGCCCCCATCCTGTTGGACGGCCCAGACGAGAGCACCGGGGCATCCTGTCCAGCAGCCTCGGCAGGAGTCGCTTTTGCAAAACGTCCTGAGACAAAACAGCCCACCATGAAACAGGGGTCACCATCACAGGTGGACGCAGTTAGGCTACACAGGTCAGCCCAAGAGACCATCAACACGTGAACAACCACCTTTGGGTGGAGGGGTGCGTGACCAGAGCCGACCCAAGTCAGCGGCCAGTCCACAAGGACCCACACCCAGGACGATCAAGATAGTTCTACAAAAGGGCTTATAAAACCCCTGGATTTAAATCCCAGAATGGCAGCCATCTCGGGTCCCCTCCCTCTCCAGAGGCTTTGTGTTGTCGCCCGATAAACACTGCTTTGCTGCCCAGCACTCTGCCTGGTCTACCTCTTTATCCTTCCGTCAGCGTGACCGAGAACCCCGGGTCGTGAGGAACAAAAAGTCCTGTGACGCTTACACCATCGCCTTGGGGTTAGGGTTTCAACACATGAACCTGGGGGAGACACAAACATTCAGTCCGTGCATCCCTCCGCTTCAGTACTTACTGTCCCCAGTTCTGGGTCCCAGAGCAGAAAGTTCACATTTCATTACCCCTGAGTGTTTGAGAAAGGCTCTAATATGCTGACTTGGAGCCAAGGCACCAACTTCCTGTGGACTTGCTTAGAGTTTTGTGATTTGAATTCAAACATGGTCTTACCTCCATATATAGGTCAAAATAAATTCAATGTTGACCAAAGATTTCAATATAAAAAGTGAAACCAAACAATTACTAGAGAAAACATTTTTTTTGTACACAGTAAAATCATTTCTAAGAACGACAAAAACTGTGAAGCTCATAAAAGAGATGAGTAAATTTGATGGAAGAAGAAAACTGCACAACACAAATGCCATAAATAAAATCAAAAGGCAAAGTATAACACGAAAAACCTTTGCAATGCACAAAAGTGTATTTTCCTTAAATGTAAAGACTGCTCAGATGTGTAAGAAAAGGTAACAGCCCAGTCTGACGTCCGCCGACATGGAAAAGACGGTTCAGGTGGACCCATCTGATGACCAGTCAGCAGGACCGAATTCACAGCGTCGCTCATAACTCAAGGAAGTTTTCAAAAGGACAACTGTGCACTGTTTTCCTCCATCTGGCTGGAAAAATGCTAAGCCTTCCTTCAACCCAGTGCAGGAACGTCCCTGGGAAACAAGCTCTCCAGTAAGCCAGGGAGGGGCGACAGTCCCCAGCTCCTGGATGTACAAGGCTTCGTGGCTTCACGGCGCCACTCCCCTGCTGGGTTGTGTTCCAGGGCTGCACAAATGCGCACACACACACACACACACACACCTCTCTTCCCGGAGGCATCTGTGTGACAGCAGCTGCGGTGTCTGTCAGGAGGGGAACGGGTCCGCGCTTTTACCATGACCATGAAACAGCGTGGTGGAGCCAGTGAGAACCACTTACAAGGAACGAGCTGAGTGAGAACCAGCAGGTTAGTTGCCGTAGTACAACACGACCTCGCGTGTTTAAACATTAACACCCTCCTGCTGTCCACAGAGGTGAGCTTGGTGGGGTGGCGTTCTGGGTGGGTGGGAGGCGCTCGTGTTCTTTTCACTTACCCGTCCCCTTCATATGCATCAGTTCTATAACTTAAAAACCTACCTTCCTGTTTTTAAGGGATTTGAATCTTTAAACAAAGTTTAAAGCAAATACAGGAAGCTCTCCCCGCCCTTGCCAAACTGGTGCCTCTCAGGGGATCAGAGGCTTGGGATGACCTTGAGGCTGGAGCTCCCGGAGGCCAACACCAGCTGATAAGGGTAAACTGAGCGAACACAGGCGACCAAAGAAAACAGGCTCTCTCTGGCTTTCTCTTTTTCTGTATTTATTTTTTTCTTCGGGGGGGGGGGTGTCTATGGAATTGTGAGTTTTAAAAACGTTTGAAATAATACTAGATTTACAGAAAAGTTGCAAAAAAATACGACGTCATCTGCACGTAGCTTCCTCTGATGCCGACATCTGGCACCGACGTCACACAGTTGTCAAAGCAGGTCCTCCTGTCGGTGCAGTGCTGGTGACTAGGCCTTGATGTTATCTGAACTTGGCCCGTTTGCTTAGTGAGGTCCTTGCCGGGCCAGGGTCTCACCCAGGGCTCCCTACCACCCAGCCGTCCTGCTGCTTCCCGTGCCTTCAGCTGTCACCCTCCTGACCTTGCTTGTCTTCAAGGGCCTGGAGGCTCTTTGAAGGGCTGCTCATGGGTCTCGTAGAACATCCTTCGATTTGGATGTGTCTGACATCGCCCCATGATTAGTCCAACTTGGCATCTTTGAAGAGTGTCACAGAGGCGATGGTCCCATCTCTTGACATCCCATCGGGGACTCTATTGAGTGGATTCTGTGGTTCCTATGGGTCTGCAGGTGTTTCCAGTATTCTGCAACTGCAAACAGCACTTCCGCGGACACTCCGTGTCGCGGCACTTTTGTATTGGTGGTGAGATGTTCTAGGGTGGGTTCCTACAAGCGGGTTTGCGGGGTCGGTCGAAGGGAAGTGGGCATGTGGTCTGTGAGAATTGCCTTATCTTCCTCGCAGAGGGTTGTACCAGCGTGCATTCCTGCCAGCAGCGTATGAGAGAACCTGTCTCCCCACGGCCTCACCCAAGGAGTGTGTTGTCACTTCAAAATATATGCCTGAGAGCCATTTTTATGTCTTTCCCCCTGAATTGTTTGTTGCCCTTTCCCATGTTTCTATTGGACTTTTTATCCTTTGATCCCTTGTTGTTAAGAGTTCTTTATATGTGTTGTACATTAGCCCTTTATCTGTGGTATGTGCAGTGAATATTTTCTCCTGGGGTATCAGCTGCCTTTTAATTTTGCTTATAGTGTTTTTAACATTTAATAAAAATTTTTTTCCTGTAGTCAAATTTATAGATCCTTTTTTTGTATTGCCTTAGGATTTTGAGTCACAATTAGAAATTCTTCTCCTATGGTTGAAGAGGAACTTAGTGACGTTTCTTCTGGGCCTTGTGTGATCTCATTGTTTGCGTCTGGTCTCCAGTCCGATTAGGAGTTTGTTCTTGGGTACGGTGTGAGGTTTGGATCTAGTTTTATTTTCCACATCGGCTAAGCAGCCGTTCCAGCACGTTTTATGAGAAGGTAGTCTTTGTCCCAGGGATCACTCTTGCCATTTGGTGAATATCCATGTGTGCTTGGGTGGGTTCTGGGATCTCTCTGTTTCCATCTCCTGATCTGTCTACATTCCAGTAGCTCTTTGAAGCATGTCTTAAGGTCTGCTGGGCCTGTTCTCACTCAGAGCTCTATCTCTCTCAGAGTTTTCTTGGCTGTTTTTACATGCTTGTTTAGTAACAACTTGTCCAATTCTGTAAGTCAGTATTTTTGTTGGAACTGCATTAAATTTATAATTTTGAATCATCCTATGCAAGAATGGGGTTGTCTTTCTATGTAGTCAGGTTTACCATCACCTCAGCCAATAGGGATAATTTTGCTTCTCTTTTGCGGGGGGTTCATTATTTTATTTTTTGGATTTTTTGTTTTTTTAATTTAAGTTTTTTTTTTCAGGGTTCCAAGATTCCTTGTGAATCTTGGAATAACTTTGCTTCTTGACTCATTTTTATGCCTCCAATTTATTTCTCTTATCTGATTGCATTGAGTAATATCTCTAGCAAGATGTTGACTGGTAGTTAGATTGTGGGCATTGCTTCCCTGTTTTAAGAGATGAATTTTTACAGAACTGAGGTCTGTGTTCAAGATAGAATATGCTGCAAATGGCAGTAGTCACAGGAAGTCAAAATTGTCCAATAAGTAAAGTGGCAGTTTTTTGAACAGCCAGATAAAGCTCTGTTAGGTTCAGGGAAGAAATGAGAGTTTAAAAGGATGGAATGCCAGCTTTGGAAGAGAACTTAACATTTAGTTAGTCTACATGTTATCTTGGGGCATGAATTCCCTTTCACCCTTCCAGGAGCAAATACAGAAGAGGGTGTCTGCCTTTGCTCTGAGGATGGCAGACAGAAGTGCCCTAAAGAAAGATCTGACTAAGTGGTGTGGTACATTCAGGTGGGGAATCCGTGATGCCTGGGCAAGAATCAGACCATCTGAGCCCTGCGGGGCAAAGAGCAGTTTTTCAGAAATAACGCTCTTGATTTTCCAGTGACATTTATTAAAACATGATTTGCTAAAATTTGTAAAGTGCTACACCAAAAAAGTCAGTTTTACCATATGACTGTTTAGCAATTATTCAAAATATTAATTTTCAGAACTGCCTATTAATGGAATTGTTGTTAAACTCTCAGCAGTATACCCAGACCATGGGCACGGGTATTTGAATATGAACCAGCTGGTAACTACGTTTGCTTATCTCCGAAGGACAGCTCGGGAAGGACTCAACTTGCTATTTTAAGGCTTTTTTATATTGTTTGAATTAAAAATGTGCTGCAAGAAAACTGAGAAACCGAGCGAGAACTCATGCCGGAGCAGGACCTCCTGAGGCCATGTCACCATGGGAGATGGGGTTGCCCATCGACCAGCTGGCTCTGAGCCTTGAGTCGAAGATGTTCACACCTCTTGTGTGCGGCGGGTCTGTGGGAGCTCATTCGAGTCTCTCGTCGCTGCCACCTGTGGGGAAGCAAAGGGTCTGGCTGCGGTTCAGGACACGTGAGGCTGTGGAAGAGGCCATGAGACGATGTGGCCAAAGCTGGGGCTGCTTGGTCCTGGCACCCGTGTTTTGCTAAGTGCGACCATCTGGGCTTTTAAATGGGAAGGTTCCTGCAGGTGATTCTGTTTCTGTCCTCAAATATCTCAGTTCTCTTCTGAAAATTATAATTAGTATCAAGAACAAGGATTCGGGGAAGAGTCTGTGCTGATTTGGGCTCCCTGGGGGGCAGGTGAAGGACAGAAGTCTGCTAGCCATCCCCTTCGGCCGTGGAAAACATCTGTGTGGAGGGACATCGAGGGCCTATGTCAGGGGAGAGCTGCACGTTTCTCTGTATGCATTCTCTTTCTCAAATGAAGCCAAACAATTACAGTCATATTTGGTCCCTGAATGCCAATAGTGAAGAAAGCCAGCATTTGCAAAAGGTAGACTGACACCATCTACCAGCCAGACTTTGAGATATGGTTATGGATCTTTCCATGTACCGCCTGCTTCTGTTCCAAGTTCTTAAGGTATCCTTTGAATGTTATCACGTTAATCTTTGTTAGCCGTCCTTCACAAGGAGGGAGGCCAGCAGCAATCATTTCTGTCCTCCTTTTTCCAGGGAGAAATGGAAAATCTGAGTTAAGCACATTGTGCAAGGGAGCCTCAAGCTTGCATATCTGGGCCTGCAGGTCTGGGTCAGAGGGAGCTTCAGGGAAGGCAGGTCTCCATGGTGTGTGTCTGAGACTCTCACATATCAGGCTTGCCCAGGGGCCTACTCAGCAGGTGCTCGGGGTGGGCACAGGGGCCCAGTCCGTGCATGCTCTGTCTGCACGCTCTTCGTTTACAACAGGAGAGGCCGCATTGCTTGGAATGACCCTGACCACAGAGGCAAATAAATTGTGGTTGGTGTAAGCTAAAAACAATGAAATTTAAACATTTTAACCAGAAAAATGTTATTTGTATTTGAAATTGGAAACACTGGAAGCTCTTTCTGGCAAATAGAACAAATAATAAAACCTATGCTTTCTTTTTAAAAAATTTTTATTTTTTTAAAATTTCTTTTCAGTGTTCCAGAATTCATTGTTTATGCACCACACCCAGTGCTCCATGCAATACGTGTCCTCCTTAGTACCCACCACCAGGCCCTCCCAAACCCCCACTCTCCTCCCCTCTAAAACCCTCAGATTGTTTCTTGGAGTCCACAGTCTCTCATGGTTCATCTCCTCCCACCCAATTTCTCCCAAATCCCTTCTCCTCTCCTCTCCCAATGTCCTCTGTGTTATTCCTTATGTTCCACAAGTAAGTGAAACCGTATGATAATTGACTCTGTCTGCTTGACTTATTTCACTCAGCATAATCTCCTCCAGTCCCATCCACGTTGATACAAAAGTTGGGTATTCATCCTTTCTGATGGAGGCATCATACTCCATAGTGTATGTGGACCACATCTTCCTTATCCATTCATCCGCTGAAGGGCATCTTGGTTCTTTCCACAGACTGTGGCCACTGCTGCTATGAACACTGGGGTACAGATGGCCCTTCTTTTCACTACATCTGTATCTTTGGGGTAAATACCCAGCAGTGCAATTGCAGGGTCATAGGGAAGCTCTATTTTTAATTTCTTAAGGAATCTCCACCCTGTTTTCCAAAGTGGCTGCACCAACTTGCATTCCCACCAACCGTGTAAGAGGGTTCCCCTTTCTCCACATCTTCTCCAACACACGTTGTTTCCTGTCTTGTTGATTTTGGCCATTCTAACTGGTGTAAGGTGATATCTCAATGAGGCTTTGATTTGAATCTCCCTGATGGCTAGTGATGATGAACATTTTTTCATGTGTCTGTTAGCCATTTGTATGTCTTCTTTGGGGAAGTGTCTGTTCATGTTTTCTGCCCATTTTTGGATGTGATTATCTGTTTTGTGTGTGTTGAGTTTGAGGAGTTCTTTATAGATCTCAGATATCAGCCCTTTGTCTGTAATGTCATTTGTGAATATCTTCTCCCATTCTGTGGGTTGCCTCTTTGTTTTGTTGACTGTTTCCTTTGCTGTGCAGAAGTTTTTGATCTTGATGAAGTCCCAAAAGTTCATTTTTGCTTTTGTTTCCTTTGCCTTTGGTCTGCTTGAGGGTCCGCGGCTTCCTCGTCGGCGCGGGGGGCGCGGCTGGAGCGGGGGTCGCTGAGCCGCACGTGCGACGATGCAGCCCGGACGAAGGCGGGTCCGGCGAGGCTCGGCGACCCCCGGGGTCAGGGACAGGAAGCCCCCGGCCGCGCCGCCCCTTCCCCCTCGGCTCCCGCGTGGTCCGTGCGCGTCGGGGTTCGCGGACGCGCAGAGCCTGTTCCGAGCTTGCTGGGGGCGCCGGGCCGTGAGCCGGGTTAGGGCTGGGCCGGCGGGGCCGGCGGGGCCAGCGCCCGGCGGGGTCCCTCACGCAGCTCGAGGGGAGGCGCGGGCGGAGACCGCGCGTGTAGCGGAAGGAGGCGTCCGTGCCCGGCGCCGCGTGGCCTGTCTGCCCCGTGGCCGGCGCGCGCGGAAGGTCGGCCGGAAGCCCGGACCCGGCCGGCCCCTGGGCGCTGCGGCCGCGCGGCCGTCCTGGCACCACACGCGCGCGGGGCTGTTGCGGACGCCGCCACCGGGGGCTTGTGGGCGACGGACGTTCGCGGCTCCGGGTCCTGGAGGCTCCCGGGTCTGGAGGCCGCAGCCGCGCGGGGCAGTGAGGCTCCCGCGTCCCCGCCGCAGACAGCCGCCCGCGCGCCCCGTGCTCACGGTGGAAGGAGAGCGGGCCAGCCGTCGGGGTCCCTTCTACCAGGGCCCGGATCCCTTCCACGGGGCCCCACCCCCATGTCCTGGTCACCACCCCATAGTCGGAGTTAATTGGACACTTGGGTGGTCAGGGCCAGGGTCCCCAACAAGAAAGCAAGAGAGCTGGGGCAGCTGAGACAAAACCAGGCCCCCATCCTGTTGGACGGCCCAGACGAGAGCACCGGGGCATCCTGTCCAGCAGCCTCGGCAGGAGTCGCTTTTGCAAAACGTCCTGAGACAAAACAGCCCACCATGAAACAGGGGTCACCATCACAGGTGGACGCAGTTAGGCTACACAGGTCAGCCCAAGAGACCATCAACACGTGAACAACCACCTTTGGGTGGAGGGGTGCGTGACCAGAGCCGACCCAAGTCAGCGGCCAGTCCACAAGGACCCACACCCAGGACGATCAAGATAGTTCTACAAAAGGGCTTATAAAACCCCTGGATTTAAATCCCAGAATGGCAGCCATCTCGGGTCCCCTCCCTCTCCAGAGGCTTTGTGTTGTCGCCCGATAAACACTGCTTTGCTGCCCAGCACTCTGCCTGGTCTACCTCTTTATCCTTCCGTCAGCGTGACCGAGAACCCCGGGTCGTGAGGAACAAAAAGTCCTGTGACGCTTACACCATCGCCTTGGGGTTAGGGTTTCAACACATGAACCTGGGGGAGACACAAACATTCAGTCCGTGCATCCCTCCGCTTCAGTACTTACTGTCCCCAGTTCTGGGTCCCAGAGCAGAAAGTTCACATTTCATTACCCCTGAGTGTTTGAGAAAGGCTCTAATATGCTGACTTGGAGCCAAGGCACCAACTTCCTGTGGACTTGCTTAGAGTTTTGTGATTTGAATTCAAACATGGTCTTACCTCCATATATAGGTCAAAATAAATTCAATGTTGACCAAAGATTTCAATATAAAAAGTGAAACCAAACAATTACTAGAGAAAACATTTTTTTTGTACACAGTAAAATCATTTCTAAGAACGACAAAAACTGTGAAGCTCATAAAAGAGATGAGTAAATTTGATGGAAGAAGAAAACTGCACAACACAAATGCCATAAATAAAATCAAAAGGCAAAGTATAACACGAAAAACCTTTGCAATGCACAAAAGTGTATTTTCCTTAAATGTAAAGACTGCTCAGATGTGTAAGAAAAGGTAACAGCCCAGTCTGACGTCCGCCGACATGGAAAAGACGGTTCAGGTGGACCCATCTGATGACCAGTCAGCAGGACCGAATTCACAGCGTCGCTCATAACTCAAGGAAGTTTTCAAAAGGACAACTGTGCACTGTTTTCCTCCATCTGGCTGGAAAAATGCTAAGCCTTCCTTCAACCCAGTGCAGGAACGTCCCTGGGAAACAAGCTCTCCAGTAAGCCAGGGAGGGGCGACAGTCCCCAGCTCCTGGATGTACAAGGCTTCGTGGCTTCACGGCGCCACTCCCCTGCTGGGTTGTGTTCCAGGGCTGCACAAATGCGCACACACACACACACACACACACCTCTCTTCCCGGAGGCATCTGTGTGACAGCAGCTGCGGTGTCTGTCAGGAGGGGAACGGGTCCGCGCTTTTACCATGACCATGAAACAGCGTGGTGGAGCCAGTGAGAACCACTTACAAGGAACGAGCTGAGTGAGAACCAGCAGGTTAGTTGCCGTAGTACAACACGACCTCGCGTGTTTAAACATTAACACCCTCCTGCTGTCCACAGAGGTGAGCTTGGTGGGGTGGCGTTCTGGGTGGGTGGGAGGCGCTCGTGTTCTTTTCACTTACCCGTCCCCTTCATATGCATCAGTTCTATAACTTAAAAACCTACCTTCCTGTTTTTAAGGGATTTGAATCTTTAAACAAAGTTTAAAGCAAATACAGGAAGCTCTCCCCGCCCTTGCCAAACTGGTGCCTCTCAGGGGATCAGAGGCTTGGGATGACCTTGAGGCTGGAGCTCCCGGAGGCCAACACCAGCTGATAAGGGTAAACTGAGCGAACACAGGCGACCAAAGAAAACAGGCTCTCTCTGGCTTTCTCTTTTTCTGTATTTATTTTTTTCTTCGGGGGGGGGGGTGTCTATGGAATTGTGAGTTTTAAAAACGTTTGAAATAATACTAGATTTACAGAAAAGTTGCAAAAAAATACGACGTCATCTGCACGTAGCTTCCTCTGATGCCGACATCTGGCACCGACGTCACACAGTTGTCAAAGCAGGTCCTCCTGTCGGTGCAGTGCTGGTGACTAGGCCTTGATGTTATCTGAACTTGGCCCGTTTGCTTAGTGAGGTCCTTGCCGGGCCAGGGTCTCACCCAGGGCTCCCTACCACCCAGCCGTCCTGCTGCTTCCCGTGCCTTCAGCTGTCACCCTCCTGACCTTGCTTGTCTTCAAGGGCCTGGAGGCTCTTTGAAGGGCTGCTCATGGGTCTCGTAGAACATCCTTCGATTTGGATGTGTCTGACATCGCCCCATGATTAGTCCAACTTGGCATCTTTGAAGAGTGTCACAGAGGCGATGGTCCCATCTCTTGACATCCCATCGGGGACTCTATTGAGTGGATTCTGTGGTTCCTATGGGTCTGCAGGTGTTTCCAGTATTCTGCAACTGCAAACAGCACTTCCGCGGACACTCCGTGTCGCGGCACTTTTGTATTGGTGGTGAGATGTTCTAGGGTGGGTTCCTACAAGCGGGTTTGCGGGGTCGGTCGAAGGGAAGTGGGCATGTGGTCTGTGAGAATTGCCTTATCTTCCTCGCAGAGGGTTGTACCAGCGTGCATTCCTGCCAGCAGCGTATGAGAGAACCTGTCTCCCCACGGCCTCACCCAAGGAGTGTGTTGTCACTTCAAAATATATGCCTGAGAGCCATTTTTATGTCTTTCCCCCTGAATTGTTTGTTGCCCTTTCCCATGTTTCTATTGGACTTTTTATCCTTTGATCCCTTGTTGTTAAGAGTTCTTTATATGTGTTGTACATTAGCCCTTTATCTGTGGTATGTGCAGTGAATATTTTCTCCTGGGGTATCAGCTGCCTTTTAATTTTGCTTATAGTGTTTTTAACATTTAATAAAAATTTTTTTCCTGTAGTCAAATTTATAGATCCTTTTTTTGTATTGCCTTAGGATTTTGAGTCACAATTAGAAATTCTTCTCCTATGGTTGAAGAGGAACTTAGTGACGTTTCTTCTGGGCCTTGTGTGATCTCATTGTTTGCGTCTGGTCTCCAGTCCGATTAGGAGTTTGTTCTTGGGTACGGTGTGAGGTTTGGATCTAGTTTTATTTTCCACATCGGCTAAGCAGCCGTTCCAGCACGTTTTATGAGAAGGTAGTCTTTGTCCCAGGGATCACTCTTGCCATTTGGTGAATATCCATGTGTGCTTGGGTGGGTTCTGGGATCTCTCTGTTTCCATCTCCTGATCTGTCTACATTCCAGTAGCTCTTTGAAGCATGTCTTAAGGTCTGCTGGGCCTGTTCTCACTCAGAGCTCTATCTCTCTCAGAGTTTTCTTGGCTGTTTTTACATGCTTGTTTAGTAACAACTTGTCCAATTCTGTAAGTCAGTATTTTTGTTGGAACTGCATTAAATTTATAATTTTGAATCATCCTGTGCAAGAATGGGGTTGTCTTTCTATGTAGTCAGGTTTACCATCACCTCAGCCAATAGGGATAATTTTGCTTCTCTTTTGCGGGGGGTTCATTATTTTATTTTTTGGATTTTTTGTTTTTTTAATTTAAGTTTTTTTTTTCAGGGTTCCAAGATTCCTTGTGAATCTTGGAATAACTTTGCTTCTTGACTCATTTTTATGCCTCCAATTTATTTCTCTTATCTGATTGCATTGAGTAATATCTCTAGCAAGATGTTGACTGGTAGTTAGATTGTGGGCATTGCTTCCCTGTTTTAAGAGATGAATTTTTACAGAACTGAGGTCTGTGTTCAAGATAGAATATGCTGCAAATGGCAGTAGTCACAGGAAGTCAAAATTGTCCAATAAGTAAAGTGGCAGTTTTTTGAACAGCCAGATAAAGCTCTGTTAGGTTCAGGGAAGAAATGAGAGTTTAAAAGGATGGAATGCCAGCTTTGGAAGAGAACTTAACATTTAGTTAGTCTACATGTTATCTTGGGGCATGAATTCCCTTTCACCCTTCCAGGAGCAAATACAGAAGAGGGTGTCTGCCTTTGCTCTGAGGATGGCAGACAGAAGTGCCCTAAAGAAAGATCTGACTAAGTGGTGTGGTACATTCAGGTGGGGAATCCGTGATGCCTGGGCAAGAATCAGACCATCTGAGCCCTGCGGGGCAAAGAGCAGTTTTTCAGAAATAACGCTCTTGATTTTCCAGTGACATTTATTAAAACATGATTTGCTAAAATTTGTAAAGTGCTACACCAAAAAAGTCAGTTTTACCATATGACTGTTTAGCAATTATTCAAAATATTAATTTTCAGAACTGCCTATTAATGGAATTGTTGTTAAACTCTCAGCAGTATACCCAGACCATGGGCACGGGTATTTGAATATGAACCAGCTGGTAACTACGTTTGCTTATCTCCGAAGGACAGCTCGGGAAGGACTCAACTTGCTATTTTAAGGCTTTTTTATATTGTTTGAATTAAAAATGTGCTGCAAGAAAACTGAGAAACCGAGCGAGAACTCATGCCGGAGCAGGACCTCCTGAGGCCATGTCACCATGGGAGATGGGGTTGCCCATCGACCAGCTGGCTCTGAGCCTTGAGTCGAAGATGTTCACACCTCTTGTGTGCGGCGGGTCTGTGGGAGCTCATTCGAGTCTCTCGTCGCTGCCACCTGTGGGGAAGCAAAGGGTCTGGCTGCGGTTCAGGACACGTGAGGCTGTGGAAGAGGCCATGAGACGATGTGGCCAAAGCTGGGGCTGCTTGGTCCTGGCACCCGTGTTTTGCTAAGTGCGACCATCTGGGCTTTTAAATGGGAAGGTTCCTGCAGGTGATTCTGTTTCTGTCCTCAAATATCTCAGTTCTCTTCTGAAAATTATAATTAGTATCAAGAACAAGGATTCGGGGAAGAGT